CCCCCCTCGATTTACTGCAGGTAGGAGTATAATAATACTTTTGTAACATCCTGCTGAGTGATAAATACTGTACCCATTTTGCAGATGGAAAGAGGACTGTGTTGCAATGAGGCATGTAGTCCCTTAAAAAATAAGTACCTGTATTTGTTCTATTATGACTGCAGTTAAATCAGCCAGCTTATATGCAGGTAGACGTTTCAAGTCTTTCAGACTGCTTACAGACTTAAACCCCCTCCAAAAAATCCAGTGTTTTTCTTTAAACTTGGTGCATCCTTGTGCCAAGGCCAGTGCATGCCTAGAAGAAGCATTGTGTTAGCTGGACTCACCTCACCCAACATCTGTATAGATGGGTCGCTTTAGGGGGGCTTTTTTGGTGCTTTTTATTTAATAACTAATTGAATCGACTTTAGATAAGTGGACAAAGCAGGGCATGCATCTGTATAGATTGCATGCCCTGCTGAAGCATGCAATCTATACAGATGCTGTGGAGCCAGGTAGAACTAACACGCTGCTGGTTCTGGTAAAGCACTTTTTCCCCCCCCCCCCCTCCCTCTCTGGCCCCTCTTTCCCCCCCCCCCCCCCCCCATGTCTGTCAGCAGTCAGAATGAATGTACAATCCTAGTAACTATGTGCAAATATGGGACACGCTGTGCATGGACTTTAGCACCTCCTCATTGAAAAAAATTGGTTCAGATGGGTAATAACTTGTTTGCATAGAGGAGTCTGAGCTGAAACATACTTCCTGACTTCAAGTGCTCCTGAGTCACTTTGCTAGAGTCTGCTCATCACTTCTACATGGTCATGGAGAATTAACTTTAACTAACCTTTATTTTTAATGAGGAGCATTTACTACTTCTGGTGTATACAAAATAAATAATGTAGGAATGAGAAATTAAAAAAAAAAATCTTTAGTTTTGTTAGGAGTCACTGGATGATACTACTTTAATTTAACCTGGCAAACTCTGGTTGTAGGGCTTTACAGTCTTGGAAAATCTGTCCTGTTGGCTCAGTATATGATGGGGAATTATTTCCCCCTCCCCCTTTTTTCTTTAAAAGAAACTGTATGAGTTACCATTACAGCTGATTTGGTGTGCTTCATAAATTGAATGTAATAACTTGTTAGATAGCAGGTCTACTCTTGTAGGCTATAATGTGAAAGAGAACAAAACTGATACAAGCAGTAAAACTTTCAGAAGTGCTTAGTTAGGAGCCAAAATTCCGTTATGAAAATGAGACTATTAGGCTATTTTGAAAATACGATGCAGGTTGTCAAACAGGTGAAACTTTTTTAGGCTTCGCACTCTCAATCCAGAAGTTTTCAGATTGGAGGTGAGCAAGAGGTAAAGTGGTTGCTCCTGCTCCCCCAGCCCAGCTGCAGGGGCTCTCAGCAGCAAGCAGCTTTCCTGCATGGCCCTGCTTTGTCCTGCAGTGCCAGATCACACACGCTGGGCTGTGGAGGCCCTGGGGAAAGGCAGCAGGGCAGGAACCTGAGCCTGAAGTGGGCAGCCTGAGTCCATGCCCACACCCTGTGCACAGATCTGGCAGGGCACAGGTTCCCCCTGCCCCAGGAAGTGCACACAGCAGCGGGTAGCCCACCCTGTGCACAGATCTGGGTAACATGGAGGGTTGGTCCCCTTCCAGGAGCATCTGCAGCAGCGAGGAGCTGCCCAGCCCCAGCCCTGCCCAACTCTCTCTCTCCCTCCCTCCCAATGGGGGCCTCTACCCCTCCCCCCCCCCCCATTTACCTGCAGGAACTGCTCTCCAGGCTGCCTGGGGGCCATGTGCATGTATGTCAGGGGTGGGCAAAATGTGGCCCGTGGGCCAGATGCTGCCCACCAGGCCATTCTATCTGGCCTGCGGGGCCCCTAAAAAATTTAGAAAATTTATATTTATCTGCCCCTGGCTGCCTGTCATGCAGCCCTCAATGGCTTGCCAAAACTCAGTAAGTGGCCCTCCGCCTGAAATAATTGCCCAACCCTGATGTACGTGCACATGGCGCCCCCCTGCATGACTGCCTTCCTCTCTCTCCCTCCCAGCTTGCAGTAGGCTGAAACTCTGTCAGCCTGCAGAGAGTTCGTTGCCAAACTGCAAAATCTGTGGGTTTCTCTGGTAAAATGAAAAATACGTGTTTAGCTCTGGTAAAAGGTAAAATCCAAAGTTTTCTTTGTTTTTCCCATGGGAAATGGAAAACCCAGAACCCTGTTCATAGCCCGCAATAGAGATTTAGAATCAGCTAATTACTCTAGTCAGTGATGATTACTAACTTGCTAGTGGAAATCCATTAGTATTCTCAAAGTGGATAAAATCAATGTCTGGTACTGTGATGTTCCTTGTGAGTCTTTGGCCTCATTCTTCCACAGTAGTTCCATCTGTGTACCCTTTAGAGATCTATGGGCTGCTTTAAACCCAGAAAAAATCATCATTTGAACAACCAAACTAAAGTGTGGTAGTTCAGCTGAGGGTATAGAAACCAAAAGTAGGAACAGTCACTTAGGCTAAGTACAGACAGTCAAAAAGCCTGAGGCTGAATTGATTCAATCTCAGGTTAGTCAAAGCTGCATAGATTGAACTGATAAGCAAGTGACAAGACATTCACTTTTGATTCTGGAAATGCAGCCACATTCTTGCAGTGGCCCACGCCAGAACCTGGGAGCACCAGAGCACACCTGTCTGCTCCAGCTGAGCAGGGAGCTTGGGCCAAGGCTAGCCCTCCCACCCTGTGAGTGTGGGGTTTGTAGGGAGGTACAAAGCATCCTGGGATGTTGGGGGACTGTGAGTGAACTTGAATCTAGAGGGGATCTGGGACAGAAGTTCAATAAACTGATTTAACCTAAATCTGTTAGGTCTGATACTATATTCATCCAGGTTTATCTTAAACCAGTTTCAGCCATTTTGCTAGTGGTTTATGTGCACTGAACTTCTGTTGCATTATGGATTTGAACTGGTTTCTGATCAGTTATACCAGTTTATGTGTAACTTCTGTCCCTAGCCTTAGTAAAGGCCAGCACAAATCTACTGAATTATTGTAGAATTGCACAAATAGACAATATCTAGCTCTCCAGATTTATGTATTTGTGTGTGTGTGTGTGACCTTCCCCAAAGAGGTTCAGGGCAGTTAAGAAAAACCAAATAAATTTTAAAGACAGGTAAAAAATGTTAAAGTAAAATAATATGTAATAAAACAAGCTCCCAAGATAATGTAAAACTATTGACACTGTTTGGCACAAATGATGGTGAAGGGTTTACACTGTTCAACTTGTGAAGTTACTTATAACTAAGTGCATTACATTTTAACTCGGAAAGTTTGGGCTTCTTATGTTTGTTTTGCTTTTTCAGATGGTTTTCTTCAGTAGAAGAGCTGAGTAATTTCTTGACTAAACCTAAAGTTCTGTTGGCCGAATCCACAAGAAATGGAAAATTGTTATGTGGTTCAATCACGTTCTAAAATCACCTGAGGCTTACCCAGTAACAGTACATGTTATGACTTTTACTAATGTGCTTTGAAGCTAAATAGCAGTGCTCTGAAATACTTGGTTAGCGCAAAAGTCAAACTTTGCGAGATTAAGTGTTAGGCTCTAGGCTGCTGTTCTTGTTGGTTGTTTCTGTTATGGCAGCAGCTACAGGCTAACTAACATTTTTATTGTAGGAATTGTATAGATACAGAACATCTTGTTGTTTCTTGTGTTGCACAGTCTTACAAGTTTTAAAAAGAAGTTTAGATACTGGGGGTGTGTGTGTGTGTGTGTGTGTGTGTGTGGGTGTGGCGGGGGGGGGGGTGTGCTTTTTCTGCTTTAGTATACCTAACTCATGCAATTATTGTTACCAAAAGCATCAAGCCAAATAAAGCATATTTGGGAGGTTTATTTGCTGTGGTCCTGTTTTACTTAAAACTGTTTTCTTCATTTATTTTCATTTTCCTTACAGCTTCGGCTTCCTCTTTGTAATGATCCTTTCCCTGTCTCTGCGATGCCTCCTTCAATTATTTCGGCTTCTATTTCTAATTACTCTAAAGGCCCTGCTCCTCTACAAATGGATATCCCATCTGCGGTCACCAGTGTGGCAAGATATGGCCCACAGGCAGGCATTATTGTTTTTTATTATTATGTTGTTAGATTTTGTTTTTGTTATTATTCTCTTTCTTCCAACTATAGTGTGTTCCCTCTTCGCTTGTCTCTCATAGCTTCATTTTCCATGTTTTGCTTGATAAACATACTGAATATTAACATGCAGAATGTTTTTGCCACCAAAAGCTACATTGGATAGAGCTCTTGGTTTTTCTGTTTGTACAGTAAATGTACATGTTAAAGGAATATAATGTTAGGAAATGGCCAGTACTCATACCAAGTATTCTATGGTCCGATTGGTCTTCTCATACTATAAACATAAAGGAAACATAAGTGCATTATGAAAACAGTATATAACCACTTTTTACAAGTTACTGCAGCTGCATTGTAGGAATTGACTAATTTAATTGGAAAGGGAGGATATAGATTTTTTTTTTTTTTTTGGTAATTTTTCGGGGGTCCTGTGAATTTATGAGAGTCAGATTATCTGCTGTTTTGGAAAAGCTTTACTTTTAATCAAAATAATAATTTTCTTGTATTATTTTGTGTGTCTGTTTCTTTCTGTACTCTGGTTGCTGATTTCATGCTTGCTAGGATGGTGCTTTTGTGTGCGAGTATGCATAGAGATGCATATGTGCTGTATGTATGTAAAATGTTTATGTACACTTTATTCACATGCATACAAAATTGTATACCAGTATATACAAGTTAAGAAATGCATGTTTTATTGTATGTGTGATGCAAGGTATAATGTGCGTGTGTATACACACACACACACACACACACACACGTATGAGTTCATTTTAATAGTGTGTATTTGCATTATACTATTTTTGTATTTATATATAGAAATCATTCCACTTTCTAAGCAGTTTGGCCTTTTATTAACGGGTCCAAGCTTGGCAACATTTATTTATAAGTCACTGCTGAGTTTGGTGCCTCATGTTTCTAGCTCTGATAAATCATCCGTATCTTGCAGAACATCTGGTTTCTTGGGTTTTCTAAGAGCATAGTGCATCTGTTTCTAGCCTTAACTAGCTATGATATGTTGGACATGTATAGTCACAATGCATTAGTATATAGTTGCCTGCTTTTAACTATTTTAAATTATAGTAGTGCTCCTTTAAGCTGCCCATTTGCAGCTTGAGACCTAGTACTAAAAAGAAGAAAAGGCTGTATAGGTGGAAGGTACAAGAAACAATACAGTCAGAACTTAACTATTTTAAATATGATTAAATGTGTGTAAAATATATGAATGTGAGTGTTAGTTTGAAACTTATTGACATTTATGTGAAGGGCTCGGTAGGATTTACTCTTACCATTTGATCATATCAAATAAAGCAGCAACCGTAAACTTCCCCAGTATAACTTTCTCTTACCCAGTACTTGTTTAAATTTGGTTTGATTTAAACTGTCCATATAAATTTATGTACTTCTCAGTCTATTAAAAATAATAAGCCTGGCACCTAATTATCTGGTTGTATCTAAAACAGTAGAAACAACATTAATGCATATATCCCGTTTACAGATTGTGTTCTTCCAACATTCCTTCCCATACACAGTTTACCTTATCCCAGTGAGGAACACAAACTGATTCTGCTGCCCTTGAAGTCAATAAAAGCTTTGCCTTTGACTTCAGTGGAAACAAAATCTGGTCCTACTCCATGAATCCTGGCATGAGAGTTCATAGCATTACATCATTTTTTAAGACTGCAGCTTATGGAGTCAAGCCAGCATCAAGTGGGACAAATAAGCATTCAGAAGTTTGTATAAGTGATGCTATATTTGTTTTCACTCTCCAAATTGTATAGGTACGTTTCAAGCTATCGGCAAATACTTCCAGCACTCCATTAAATGAAGCAAGAGTTAGTTCAACATCTACTCCATTAATGCCTCCAGACTCTGGCCACATGTAAGTTTTCTTTGGGGGGGGTGTGTGTGTGTGTGTGTGTGTGTGTGTGTATCCTTGCCTCCTGCCCCCAATTTAATGTTTATGCAACACTTAAGATGAGAGACTTCACCAGTCTAAGTCACATTTTCACTTTAGTGTGTATGCACATGTGTGCATGTGAAATAGTGTTATCTAAAGCTTCAGATTCATTGTACACAAGAACAATTTGACAGAGGCCAAATTAGCAGGCTTTGACAAAAGCCTATTTTGGTTGTCATGCAACTCTTGGTGGGTTTTTTTTTTTTAATTTCTTCTCCAAGGAATCTGTGGGATGACATACTTTCTTTCCAGGAGTATATTCAAAGTTAGAGATAAAGATCTGGGGGAGTATGAAGGCCTATGGAGAAGCCCATTCTATTTGTACTCTTCTGGAAATTAAAAAAAAAAAAAAAAAATCTTGATTAATGGTTTTCCTTTTTATCAGATCATTTAGGATGTCTCCCACTGAGGAGCCGCTTGTGTAACTCTCTGACATCACTTCTAAATTCCAAGTGTAACAGGCTAAGTTTAATTCTTAGGTGCTTCTTCAAATATCTTCTGTTTCTCTTCCGTACAGTGTGATATATGCTGAGCTGAGGCCAGTCAATCCTTGGAGTCAGGCTTTCCCCTCATGTGTCAGAGTAATGGCTAGAAACATAGCAAATGAGTAAGGATGAGAGAGAGTGTTCTGCTGCCTCTAACTTTGTATCACATTTTGCAATAAAGGACGTTACATACAGGGTACGATATTGATTGCATAAGACCAGTTCCCCATACATTTTGTGCAGAGATGAATCCAGCATATCTTGAAGGTGCTCAAGCAAAACCTGGACTTAAGAAAAGAAGTAGGACATAGGTGCATATTTTTATGTGATGAATCTCAAACAGGGGCTGCAGAACTTAGCATTTTAAACATCCCTTTTGCCACTTTCAGTTGGATACTTTCGCTAAGAATCCCATCCACTCTTCTGCCAGTGGCCTACTTCAAGAACTTTGGAACCAAGTCAAACAGTTTACCAACAACTTATCAAGTCCTTTTCTCATCCCTCTGTCCTGACCGTCCATTCAAACGTACATATAGCTTAGCCTCTTCTCAACTGTTTTTTCTCTTAACCATATGCACCATCTGCACAATGGTGTTACAGTAGGTATGCATTGCTTTGGGCTGGTCAAGGGAGCCTAGTTTGCCTTCATTGTGCTGGATATGAGATTGATTGATTTATTTTTTTTATACAAACACCCAGAAAAATAAATAAAGTTAGTCATGATATCATAACGGAGCTAAAGCAAGAACCCAATGACAACAAAGAACACATTTTAACTTTGTGCATTTAGCTATTAAACCCCAATGCTATACTTCTTGCAAGATGGCCCTGGGTTATATCTTATCATTCTTTTTATTTTTTTTTTTACTGTTTTAAGATTATCATCAGTTTTCCAATCAAACCCATGTTTCAAAGAGCTCAGAGGATATGAGAAGAGCTGCTTAAAAGGCAAATACTGGGAAAGCTAAAGAAGATCCCTGTCTCTTTGTTCCTCTTCTATTTCAGTATGAAGAAGAAAAAAATATACAAACTGATGGAATGAACAATATGATTTATATCAGAAGCAGTAGAAACCTTTAGAGCAAGTGTGACTCTACCACCTAGTGTTACAGCTAGTTAAACTAAAGGAATAGTGTTATCTCTTGCAGAAAGATTACATGCCACACATTAACTAGGGCTGTGCAAAACAGTGCTTTCATTTCGACTTCCATTTTGCTGTTTCAAAGGGACAGTGTTTTGTTTTGTTTTGTTTCGTTTCGTTTCGAAGCACTGTCTTTTTTTCGTTTCGTCAAAACCGTTTCGACGCATTTTGCTGTTTAGCCTATAGGCTATTATGGGGATTCATGAAAATGCCTATAACGGTGTCATTTCTTGCCTGATTTGGATGAAAATTTCAGGGATGGTAGCTCCTTCTGAGGGCATGAAGCCTGCCATGTTTCAAGGAGAGAGATGCAGGGGTATTTATGAAACTGCACCTCAAACAGTTGAAAGCAAAACTTGTATCCTTTCCTGGCAGCGGCAGCCTGCTGTCATCCCATGCACAGATGTGGGGGCCGCATCCCCAGGAGGGCTGTGCAGCTCTGCTGGACTCCTCCTGAGGGTGCGGGCCCCCAGATTTGCATGTGGGTTGACAGGAGGCTGCTGCTGCTGCCTGGGACTGGCACTGGGTGCAGCCCATGTCCAGCACTAGGAACAGCAAACTGCTGCTGACACTGGCCCCAGGCAGCAGTGGCAACCTCCTGTCAACCTGGATGCAGATCTTGGGGCCCGCACCCTCCGGGAGGCCCACACTCAGTGGCAGTGCTGGGTGGGCAGGTGGGGTGGGGGCTACAGTGAATTTTGGGGTGGCAGCAGCCCCACTTCCATCACTGCAGCCTACCCTGAGCACTGGGGAGAGCCCAGTGCTGCCCCTGCTGCAGCCCTGAGTGGTAGATGCCACCTGCCTGCAGCCACTGGGCTGTGCCACACCAGGAAGTTTAGGGCATGATGCAGCCCAGTGGCTGCAGGCAGGCAGTGTCCGCCGCTTCTGAGGCTGCAGCAGGGGTAGCACTGGGTTCTTTCTGGCACTTTGACAGTGCTGGGAGGGCAGGTTGAGCTCCATGGGGCTGGTGGAGCTGCTCAGAGCACAGATCTGGCTCTCCCCACCTTCCGCTGCTGTGCTGCACTCTGAGTAGCTCTGCCAGCCCCATGGAGCTGAGCCTGGTGGCCGGAGGTGGGGGAGAGCCACTGGCCAGGGCTGCGCTCTGAGCAGCTCCGCCACCTCCTGCCACCAGGTCTGTGGGGCTGTGGAGCCTCCAGCTGCCAGGTTGTGCTCACCAGGGCTGTGCTCCAAGTGTCGCTGCCAGCCCCATGGATCTCAGCCCGGTGGAGAGAAAGCCAGTGGTGCGGTTACTCGGAGCACAGCTCTGCTGAACACAGCCTGGTGTCAGGAGGCTCTGCCAGCCCCGCAGAGCTGAGCCTGGTGGCGGGAGGTGGGGGAGAGCCACAGGCCAGGGCTGCGCTCTGAGCAGCTCCGCCACCTCCTGCCACCAGGTCTGTGGGGCTGTGGAGCCTCCAGCTGCCAGGTTGTGCTCACCAGGGCTGTGCTCCAAGTGTCGCTGCCAGCCCCATGGATCTCAGCCCGGTGGAGAGAAAGCCAGTGGTGCGGTTACTCGGAGCACAGCTCTGCTGAACACAGCCTGGTGTCAGGAGGCTCTGCCAGCCCCGCAGAGCTGAGCCTGGTGGTGGGAGGTGGGGGAGAGCCACAGGCCAGGGCTGCACTCCAAGCAGCTCTGCCACTGACTCTCCCACCACCAGTCTGAGCTCTGTAGGGAAGACCCCGGCACAGCCCTCCAGCCCATAGCTCTCCCATTGCAGCTGGCACTGGTGGCCGCCCAAGAAGAGCTGGGGGAAGCAGTCAGAGAGCTGGGGGAAAGATTGGGAAGCTGGGGAATCCAACCGGGAACCGGGGGAATGTTCAGGGATCTGAACATTCCCCCAGCCCCCAGGTCGATTCCCCAGCTCTCTGATTGCTTCCCCAGGAAGCCCAGGTTTGAAACCCAGAACGTTTTGAAAGTTTCAAAACATTTTGAGTGCCCTTGTTTCGTTTAGAAGCTGTTACAAGCCGTTTGTTTCATTTCTATTTTGCTGTTTCAAGCTCGAAACAGCCTCGAAATGGAACATCTGTTGAAATTCACACAGCTCTAATATTAACAAAGATTAAACAGCAATTTGATCTTCTGTGTGCACTTTCAAAAACAGATCCAAGGTAGAATTTTTTGAGGGTACTTAGTGTTGGCCTGTGTCTAGCCTTTGAAGTCAAGAACTTTACTGTTGACCTCAATAGGAACAGAGTTTAGCCTGTGCTGGTTGACTTGGTCTAGAAAAATCCTGTTTCCAAGTTTCAAGTGATGCATTTTGTAAGAAAGTGTGGAGGCACCAAAATGCCCAGTTTTTCTCCCCTCCCAATCATGGGTGTCTTTTTTTTTTTTTTTTTATTTATTCACATAAAATCAATTGGATCATTAAAATAGTTATTTGTTATGTAGTATATTCGACTGAAAGGATTGTTGGACAGTCAAAAACAGGGAAGTCAAAACCAGGAAACTGCAGAAGGGAGAAAATTTCAGATATTTCCTTTCTTTTTTTCCCCCCAATGTCAGGATGTTTTGCCAGCAATTTAATGGCACCATTATGCACATTTTTATAAGCAAGAAAAATGTGTGTAGTCAGTGTTAAGGTGTTTTGGAGGGTGAGGGAAGGCATTCTGTATGGTCAACTCATGTGTAAGTGAAAATTTAAATAGAATGCAGATGTTAAGTGCATCTTAACATCTGCATTGTCTGCTGAATTCTTAATCTGTGAGCCTTTTCTCCCCACCCCCCAAACTATGTAATTTTTCTGTATTTTCTATGTAATCTAAAATCGTTACTTTGATTAGTGCTACTAACACCTTCATACAAAATAACCCTATTTTATGCTCTTTTTTTTTTTTTTTTTTTAAATGGAATCCTAACTGAGGTTTTGTTATTAGCCATTGAATGTAAAGATGTTGGTTGATGTAAGTTTTTTCCATTCATTTCTCAGGGCTAAAAAAACCCCCATTCTTCTTGGGATTCCTGTTCAGATTCTAAATAGAAATGGTTTCAGTAGTTGCAGAATGAAAACAAAACAACAGTTTCCAGTCTGCCATTCTGTAACTGATGGCCAAACTGAAGTTGCTTGAACTGATCTGAAGTTGCTTGAGTGATTTTGTATTTATTTCTTTTCCTTTATTTAATTTCTCCTAGGCTAAAGAAGAAAACGTAACCATTTAGAATTGTCACTGATTTATAAATCATGCTTCAATGCAAATCATTAGCGCTTTCAAGAATAAAGGGCTAATAACTTTTAGACCTTTTCATAATGTTGGAGAGGTGGAGTGGCAGTATAAGGCACAATATAACACTACAACAGTATTTTATTTGGCAACCTTCTTTCTCCCTTTGGAATAATATGTTCCCAAAAATGTTGATATTTCAGTGACCCACCTGGTTTAGATATGAAATATTTGAAGAAAGATGGCAACTTGCCTTTGAGAGGACTGAAGCCTTTGACTATAGAAAACACAGGTAAAATGATCTAACAGATTTTTTTAAGATGACTTGTTTACCCAGCAACTCAGTTATAATTGACTGTTGGGTCCTACCATAATACATCTTAATGCTGAAGATCTTTGTGTTAGAGTGTACAGTGGGCATGTTTCCTCTAGTTAGACCTGGACTACAAAGTTCTGACCCAAACTCCCTCAAAACCAGGTAAAGCAGGGACTATATTTTTGGCTTTAATTTCATGACTGTTTTCTTTGACTGTATTTTCTTCTGAATTTTTTTCTTATAGTAATACAAGAGAGTTTTTTAAAATTGGTCAATCTGTCAAACTACACAGGAGTAGTCTAGTTTTGGGCCCAAATTCAGCAACATTCTTAAGCAAGCATCTGACTTTTCTAGCATATGAATAATATAATTTAAGTGAATGGGATTACTCACACAGTGTATTGTTCCAGTTAAAAATTGACCCTGCATGCAAATTGATCCCAAATGTTCAGGGGTGTTTTAGCAAAAGACAGCTTTCCCTGGGTACAGATAAAGAACTTGAACTGACTTTGGTGTGACAGAATTCCGCAGGAGAAGAAAATAACCATGGAAAGGATCCAAAGGGTTAAATGTACCAAAATTACTAAAAGGAAAAACTGCTCTGAAAATAAATACTGACTTTGTATTTTTGTTGTATGCACAAAAATACAGCAAGTCCAGACATCAGAGTTGTAAGAGGCCTGACTATAGGTTGACCTGCATACAAGGCAAATTGGATTTTATGGCCTTTTTTGTAAGGAGGGGGGAGAGGACGCAGACTTGTAATCAGAACAATGCAGTACTTAAAGTTGAGTACCTGCTTGAATAACTACTTGAATCAGTGTGCAGTGATTTGGAGAAGGCATGCAGGAAGCTCACTATCCTAGACTTTAACAAGAAGATTCTTCTAAAGAATTTGAATAAAATATTGTGTCAATTACTTTGCAAGGAATTCACACCCTAGTAGTTTTTATTATTCTTATTCTTTCAGTATTACCAAGGCCTATATTATCCAAGCAAGGAAGTCCACCTGTAACATCTGCTTACTTCCCAAAGCAACAGCCTCGGCTACCTGCATCATGAGCTTCAACACGATTGTAATGGATGCATAAAGAAAGACTCTTGCTCATTCTTGGAAACAGTAATGAATATGCCATTTAAAATGTGTGATAAGAGAGATGCTTGGACAACAAGGTTTTAAATTTGACTTTATAGTCTGTCTGAACTTAGCTACTTTTTTCCCTATAAAGTCTTTGTTCACTGAAACTGCCACAATATGTTCTGGTGTAAAGCCAACCATTAAAATAACCTAATTGCATTTCTAGATCTATAATTTCTTTTTAAACAATTAAAAAAATATATATAGTAGCAGCTGTTTGATTCCTCAGACACTCCACGGCTTACAGGCTGTGCATGCTGAATGAAAGTGTTTCTTTCAGGTATTTTTGCTGCTCCAAAGCTGTGTGTGCGTGCACATGTATGTTTGTGCAACCTGTCTGGTACATTCTGTAGCACTGCACTTTTCATGTTTAGAAGACCTTTTGTAATAGTTAAATTATGAAGAACAAAGTTTTTTTTTGTTTGTTTTTTTAAGATGGCAGACTTATAGCAGCAGTAATCCATTGTGTGTACAGCATTTACTTTATGACATTAATCACTTCTGTTGATAACCATGGTGGACAGAAATAATTTCTGCAAATATTTGGACCCCTTTTTTTCTTCATGTTAGTTCCTTGATGACTGACTACTATTTTTTTCTTTCCTTAATCAAATCACACCTACCAGCTTTGTGCAAACTATTTAGTCACTGTATATCTTGTATACTGTATTTTTAGGTAGGGTCAGATTAAATATCAATATTTAATATTGATATTTTTTGTAGTATGAGTATAATTTGCTGGCAAAACTTGGAGGATTACAATAATGACAGACACAATATTCTGAATGTAAAAAAGTTCTGTATCTTCAGTATTCAAAAATAGTAACAGTTTCTTTAGTTTAGGACAGAGCCAGACTCAAAGTGAATACAGCTCTATTTGAATTAGTTCATTTGGCTTTTTGTTATCAGGGGAAAATCAAGAGTATTGGATTTACCTGTTTCAAAATGTTCACTGGATGAAAAGCTCAGTTAGAAGTATTCCATTTTGTGAGATGTAAGTAGACCATCTGCATTTCACTTGCACAGCAGTCATTCCTACTTTTTTTACTGATTATTTTTCCCCCAATTGTCTCTCTCTTCCTGTGTAAAATGGAAAAAAAAATCGAGGATAATTTTTTTTTTTTAATGACATACTGTACCTCCTCCCGTTTTCAGATATGGGCTTGGCTCTTTGCAATCTTACTAGAAATCTTAGTTTGTATTTGATATTAAACTAGATTGGATGTATGGTAATTTCCTTTCTCATTCTGCAGCCTAATTCTTTGGGGACACAAAATTGGTTATTGCATTATTAAAATGAGACAAATCTGCAGTAAATTAGTACATACTAGATTGATGGGCTACTTTAATTTTCAAAAGCAGTGTTGAAACTTAATGCCTGGAGGTCTGCAGTTCATTTTCCTGTCAGTATTATAAACATTAACCTTTTTTCCTGAAATTATTTTCCTTGGATGGAATTGTGGAATGCAACAATGTCTAGAATTATTTTCTGTTGACTGATTGTTACTCAGTGTGCCATCCTTTCAATTCTGGAACTTGCAGATACAGTGCTCATGTCAGAGTCCAGGTGAAATGCAGTAATTTTTGCTTGGGGCCTTTACCTTTTTGCATGGATTATTTTATGAGAGAACTTCATATATCTTAATTTTCTGGGAATTTGGAACATGCATTTCTTGTATATTGAGAGAGAACCTGTGCCCTATTAGTTCCATGCAATGTCTTACAGCAAATGAGGAGTGTGTGTGTGTGTGTGTGTGTGTGTGTGTGTGTGTATATACATATATATAAGTGTATGAAAATGTAACCTTTTTTTTTTTCTATTTAAAGTTTATATTATATTGAGAATAAAATGTTTGTACTATAATTGCCTAACTTTTGCTTTATTACCGAAAAGGTAAAGGGAAAGAAGCTATTTCTTTAAAAAAAAATAAATAAAAAAAAATCATATACTTCAAATTCTGAGATTTAAATTTTGATCTCCTCATGCTCTCGCCCTCATTGAAGATAATGGAATAGCATGAGTATCACAGAATTTGAAGACCATGGGGCCCTAGTAAATGAAGGTAGAATTTGTCCTTGTATTGTTTCAGGAAAATCCCAGGGTTGCAGCTACAAAACTTTTTCCCTCTTCCTTTATACTGAGCAAATGCAACAAGCATGTAGGTACTTTAAGCATAAGAAGCGTTATCACTTATTTGCTGCTTGCATTAACACATACCTTGACACCATTTGCAAATGGAAGATAGAAAAATACTGATTTAGACCAGTATTTTTTTTTTTCTTGATAGTACCCAACCCCAGATGCTCCAGGAAGTGTGGGGGCAGCCCTTCAGAAAAAAAACACTGAAAGAATTATGATATATTCACCATGAGGTTTCATTCAGATATCTAGATGTTAGAGACTAATTCATCCTTCCTTGACCAACATTGTGTAGGGTAGACCTAGGCACCACTACTCCCCTCTTTCATTTTACTGCTGCTTCTGTCTGCTCCATGACACTTAAGGTTGACTTTCTGCCTTTCCTGATTAGGGTCCTTTTTACTTTCAACTCTTCAGCTTTGTGTAGAAGTCAGTGTGTGGTGTCTGGAGACCGTGCTGCAAAAATGTCCAGTTCCACCCTTTAATTCTGGTGGATACAAGCTGTTAGTTGGATATTTTTATTAAGGCTCCAGACTTAAAGAAGGAGATTTTAATATCCCTCCCAAAATTTTGTTGTTAATTGTAACCAGTGATCCTGGTTTTCTCTGTTTTTAAGAATTGCAAATTCTCTGATTTAAATCTCCCCAAATCCATGTTTTTCCATGGTTAAAATGCTGGCACTATATAGTGTCAGTTGGGCACTGTTTTATTGATATATTTATAATTTTAAAGCAGTTTGGAAGCCTAAGAGTGTCTCAATCATTATTATAAAATGAATTCTAAATACTTTGTTTGTTTGTAATCATGGAAAATCAGAGCTCCCCCTGCTCTCTTCACTTACCAGGATGTGGGTCCAGCTGCTGCTGTCCCCCCCTGCTGTTTTGTGGCACTGTGTAGCCCTGAAATGCCAGTACCCTGCCTATGCCATTGCCCCTCACTCCTGACCCGTAGCCCCCATGCACTGTCATTGCCCCTCCCAACCCACAGCCCTAATAGTGCCCTGCACTCCCAACCCACTACCCCAGCCCTCCAGTGTATAAAGAAGAAGGCGGGTATGTGAGGAAGGGGGAATGGTGGGCACAGGTGATGCATTTGGGAGAGGATGGGGGGGCACAAGAGATGCATGGGAGTATGGAGGGAGCACGTGTCTCTCCAGACTTCTGTGCCCACAGTGGGGTGCAGGGCTGCAGCTGGGCTGAACTAGCTCTAGGCAGGAGCAGCCTCTGCAGCCCAGAAGGTGGGACCTGGTGCAGGAGGAAGTGCCAAGCCACCATGGCTGCCACACTACCTGGCTGCCATGTGCATGTGCTGCCCCCTGGATCCTGGTCCCTGCAGCCCCTTACAGGCTGGAACTGTGCCAGACTGCAATGGAAGACCTGTGGTTTCCCTCATTTTTCTCCTTTAAAGGGAAAATCCACATTTTTCTGTGGCAAATGAAAAACCTGGATCCCTGATTATAAGTGTGGTCCTTCTTGATTATCTATATGAACGACAAGAATTAAAAAGTTATTGGATAAGTTGTCCTTAACCACTTGCAGTAGCAAAACCGTTTGTTCTTCATTTAATTACAGGTTGTATTTTTAAAACTCTTGTTTTTAATTCATTTTGAATTTTCCACTCTTTTAATATTTCATTGAGTACCCTCTTGTCTTGGTGTTATGGGACACAAAGAACTGAAGTTTCTGATCTAAGCCCCCTACACCATTAATTATTTTATATAATTTATCATATTCCTTTATTCATTGCTTTTTCTAAATTAGACAGTTCCAGTATTTTTGGTGTTATCTCCTTTGTGGGACTTAATGTTCTTGTTCATTTCCACCTCTCTTCTTATTTACTGTAGTTCTGCTCTATCATTTTTAGATGAGATGGCCAGAATGGTGCACAGATAAAGTTACATTATTGATATATGTGAAGATATTATTGAATGGGATGGTGAATAAAATATAAATCCTAACATTTTTATTAGCTGCTGCTTTTTGAATGCAGCTACACATTGAGCAAAGGTCTTTGTTATACTGTCCATGGTTATGCTTGGGTTCTAAGTTAATTAAGAACATTGTAAGTGAATGAAGAGTTCAGTTTTCACAACTCCAGTGTGCATTATTTGCATTTTTCAGTAACATTACATTTTACCATTGTTTGCTCATTCATCTAACTTGTTTGTGTTTTTCTCAGGTTTCTTCCACTCTTGACTAATCCAAATAATTTTGTTACTTGTGAAATGTATATAAATTACAACTCTGAGTTAACTTCCCATTCATTAGTAAGTATAACAAACGACTAAATGGCACAGGACCTGATATGAGCCCTGCCGACACTATGCTTTTAACCATGCTGAAAATTGACTGTTTAATCTTATTCTTTGCTTCCTGATTCCTAGCCATTTTTGTTTTGATCCAAGACCATATGGGGCCTCTCGTCACCTCAACTCTTTTAAGTAGTTGTTTAAACATCGAAATAAATTGTAAACTAGTTCTTTTTCCAGTGTTTTACTGACGTGTTCAAATCCTTACATTTGCAAGAGGTTTTCCTTGCAAGCAAAACTGTTTAGTGACAATTAAATGTGCATCAAGACCCAGGCAAATCCTTGGAAATATGGAAATAATAATGAAAAGCTCCAGCATACCCAGCCACTTTAACATTGTAAGCAAAGCTGTTGATACATACTGTGAAGGACATTAATTTCCATCTCAAACAGTTGCTGAAAATCATTAGATATATATATATCCTACCTTCATCCAACTTGCTCTGTCATGCAAAACCTTGATGGTGACCTCCAAGCCTCTTGTATTAGCAGACTGATGAATCTGACTGTCAGACAGTCTGCTTTTTTAGAAGTAATTCTGCATTAACATGGCTGCTGGCATCACTGGGGTTTTGATTTATCAACTATCAAACAGTGCAAAGTTAGTTTTCCCCCTGCAGGAGCATTTTTGGGGTGAGTAGATTGATAGGCTTGTGTGCAAAATATTGGAGGGGTTAGGGTTAGAGTTATTGTTGTTTATTAAGTAAACAAATTTATTTTTTGTCAAGTAGTTTGTTTTAATTTGTGTATTGATCATTTTAATATCACTTCATAAAAGTGCATGTATGTTACTTTTATTTTGTGGAAGCACCAAGAACTTTGTGGCCAGAAGAGGACTTAGTTGGTTCTCAGGGCAGTGCATTTTCAATAGTGTGTGTGTGTGTGTGTGTGTGTGTGTGTGGGGGGAGGGGAGGGGAGGGGAAGAAAAGGGGAGGGAGAGAGCCAATTTAAGTTGATGACAGTATGAATTACAGATAAGTGGCATAAAAACATTGTTCAATGAATAAATGAGAGCATTCAGTCATGAAACTGAAAGCATGGGGATACAATAAAGGGAAAGGATAAAAGATGCATTAAGATCAAATCTGAAAACACAGGGAGATGATGAGAATAAGTTGCTTGTTGTTTGCAGAAGTAATAAATGGAAGTCAATTTGAGAGCTCAGAAGCAAGGAGAAGAGAGAGGAAAGAGACTTGGAAAACTATGTGGTTTCTGGACGGAAATCCAGTTCCAACGACAAATCCTGAAATCCAGGAGAAAGGCAATAACTGCTAGAGTTAGGACTATGAGACTCATTCATATATGTGCATAAAATAAGGGATCCAGAATCTGGAGAGCTGAAATTTAGTAAAACTGAACAAGCTTCAAAGGAAGAGGAAATAGCTGCTTAAACTCTCAACTACAGGGACAGTTAAGGTAGTTGTGTTCATGAGCTATGCTGTGGAGGTTTTGATAAAAAGATTACATAGAGCTGCAAAGAAAATAAAAGTTCAAGGTCAAGTATGATAAGAAGCTGGAGGGAGATTGGAGTTCTTGTTTAAGGAAACTTGCTTTCAAGATATTTGCTTTCAGTCTTTTAGCCAACAAATTTGTTTGGCATCTTAAATTCCATGGTTAGTTCAATGTATATTAGCACTACAAAATAAGATTGTATCACTTTCATATCAAATAGAGACAGAAATAGTCAGCTCGGTGTAGTCTGAAGTAGCAAGAAGTGTCTGATGAAGTAGGTTGCCCATGAAAGCTCATACCTTTTTGAACCAGTTAGTCTCTAAGGGAGTCTTTACCCATGCTCTGGTGTGGGGGGCAGGAGGGCATATTAATTAGTGGCTCTTAGGAGCCACTGTAACTAAAACACCTGCAGAGTCTCATATTCAGCATCCCCACATTTCAACGTGACAGCAGGGAAGCTTTAACTAAAGCTTGTTCGACAAGCTTTAGTTAAAAAACCCCCTGCTGCCATTTTGAAATGTGGGGATGCTGAATACATGTGACACCAAGGCTGCTGGAACGTTCTAATTGGAATGTTCCAGCAGACTTGATTAATCAAGTCTAATTAAAACATGTTGGAGCAGGCGTTGGGCACATGTATAGGTGCCCTAAGGTGCCACCCTGCCCTAGTCTTATATCAAATTGAGGTAAACTCTGGGTGGTGATGTGTGTTTGTTTTGGGAAAGAATTGGTTTTTCTTTGCAGCCTTCTTTCCCCCCCCCCCCCATGCATTAATTGATGGGCATTGCATTCATACTGTTCAGCTGCTTTAGCTCTTTCAGAAGGCTGAGCCACATCTGCATCCTTCCTTGGTTTGTCATA